AAATGCAAGTTAAATGAGACAAGCTATAAGAAGGTACCAATAACTCAACATGCTCAAAAATTGGGTGGTTGGCGCGTGCTCTGGTGTGGTTTGCTTCTTCTTTCCTAACGAATTTCTATCGTCCTTATCTCCCCCTCCTTCTTTTTTATTTTTGTTACTCTCTTGTAACACCTCTAATCTTCTGGCGCTTATATATGACCTTATGCAGTTGCGAGCGCCATAAAAACTATACTAAAACAAAAAACAAAAACAAAAATAAAAATTGACGAGCGCCTGATTCCACCGCGTGGTGAGAAACATTATGCGCCATCGTTTCCTTCAAAAAAGCGCGTGGTGATTTAAAGCAAGGGATTTAAACAAGCTGAGCGGAGCCGGAAAAATGAGGTTTTGGGGACGTTGATATCGCATGAAGTGTACGGTAAATAAAATGCTTGTTGGTTTCTTGTGTGTTTGTGTTTTAGCGCGTGTAATTCGAACCTTGCACTGTATGACTCCCAGGAGCCGATATGTTGTTTCTAAATGCTCTTAGGTTATTTTGTTAGGTTTTTTTTTTTAAGTTGTAAAGAGGGTAGAACATGCTAAAGAGCATGGATATGCGACATACAAATGTAATTTTATTATTAGCTTGCTGTTATCATTGTGATGTAAATTTGACATTTCAAAACAAGTTAAGCGGTGTGTGCAGTCATGCTGGCGATGTTTTGTGTGCGTTTGCTCTTATGTCGGGTGAAATAACTGATTAAAGTTTTTGTTTGTTTGTTTTTCGTTTGTATGTGTGTGTGTGTGCATTTGTGTATATGCCTTTATGTGCGTGTGCGTATATGCGTGTGTGTTTGTGTGTGTGTGTGTGTGTGTGTGTGTGTGTGTGTGTGTGTGTGTGTGTGTGTGTGAGAGAGAGAGAGAGAGAGGTGGGGGGCTGCGTTTGCTTTTATTTTATGAATAATTTAAGCTTTAAGCATTAGGGACTGTGTTTTTGTTGCGTATAATCATACTCAAAGGGCTTTTCAGATTATTTATCAATGGATTCTTCTGTTATATCCGTCCCAGTGTGGATGCTTTTGTGAATTTTTGGAATGAATGACGTGGTGGACCGTGCCGACTTGATAATACCCTTGTCTTTATGTCGACTTGATAGTACTCCCCCCCAATCCGAAAATGTCGACTTGATAATGCTCTCCCTCCCCCGCCCGTAATGTCGACTTGGTAATACTCCTGACTCCTGACCATGCCGCCTTGATAAAATACACCCACCCCCTTCTTAATGTCGACTTGATTATATACCCTCTCTTCTCCTCCACCCCCTGTATTTTTGTCGAAGATTATACCCCCCTCCCCCTCCCCCGTATTTTGTCGACTTGATAATACCTGTAATACTAGCTCCTCCTCCTCCCCCTTTCCTTAAACCCCTACCTTATGTTGACTTGATAATACGTGTCATTTTTGTTGGTACCCCCATGGTTGTATGCAGTAGGCAACATCCCTCCTGCTGACCAGAGAGTGCTACCACCTATGTGATTAAATGAACGTTCCTTTGTCCCAGCCCCCGGCCCCCTCGCTTGTTCCTCTCTTGTATGCTGTGGTGTAATTGAGCTATTCAGCGACCTGACTCCACGGGATTGGGATGGTTGGCTGGGTGCAGCGACGAGCGAGCAGACAAGGGTTAATCAACAGGGTTAATCTACGTGGTTAGCCAGAAAGGTTTTTATTGTTCGCGAGGATGACCAGTCGATAGCGTGTGTCTAGGGGTGGGAGGGGGTGGGGGAGGGGAGGAAGAG